GGACAAGAGCCTTTACTGTGGCTTCTGCAGGGAGGACCTGGTGAGGCAGGGTAAGCAGGCTCAGGATTGGCGGCTTGAGGAATGTCAGTAGGCTCTGGGGTGTAGGAGCTGTTCGCTGAATTGTCTGGCTCCTGGCCCTCGGTGATTAGGGCAGGTGGAGAGTGGTCCTGAGCAGGAGAGTCCCCTAGAGGAAGCAAAAGCAGAATCTGGATGGATTGGTTTGTGTACAAAATGTGTGCTGGCAGGGGAGTCATTAACTCTCTCTAGAAATTGGCTACCCCAGGAAGGACCATCCTTCCACGGTCAGAGCTTCAGATACAGAAACCAGAAAATCCATGAACACAGTATATGCTTTCACTTATTTAGATCTTCCTCGATTTCTTTCTTCAATATCCTATAATTTTCTGAGTACAGGCCTTTACCTCCTTGGTTAAATTTGTTCCTAGGTACCTTCTTTCGTTGCAATATTAGATGGGATTGCTTTCTTAATTTTTTTTTCTGATAGTTCATTATTGGTGTCTAAAGATGCCACCAATTTCTGAATATGGATTTTGTATCCTGATACTGTGCCAAATTAATTTAGATGAGTAGTTTTTTTTTTTTTTGGTGGATTCTTTTTTAAAAATATATGTTTTTATTCACTTCAAAGAGGAAGGAGATTATTGGTGTCTAAAGATGCCACCAATTTCTGAATATGAATTTTGTATTCTGATACTGTGCCAAATTAATTTAGATGAGTAGTTTTATTTTTGGTGGATTCTTTTTTAAAAAATATATACGTTTTTTTTCACTTCAAAGAGGAAGAAGGAGAGAGCGATTGAAACATCAACAATGAGAGAGCATCATTGATCAGCTGCCTCCTGCATGCCCCACACTGGGGATTGAGCCCGCAACCCAGGCATGTGCCCCAACCGGGAATCAAACTGTGACCTCCTGGTTCATAGGTTGATGCTTAACCACTGAGCCACGCCGGCAGGGCTTGGTGGATTCTTTAGGGTTTTCTATGTACAATATCATGTCATCTGCAAATAATGATAGTTTTACTTTCTTTTCTTAAAATTTGATGCCTTTTATTTCTTCTTCTTATCTGATTGTCATGGCTAGGATCTCCACTCCTAAGCTGAATAAGAGTGGGGAAAGTGTCTTGTTCCTGATCTTAAAGAAAACATGTTTAGTTTTTGCCCATTGAGTATGATGATGGCTATGGTTTTTCATTTATGGCCTTTATTATGTTGAATTATGATTCCTCTATTCCCTCTTGCTGAGAGTTTTTATCATAAATGGTTGCTGGATTTTGTCAAGTGCTTTTTTTGCATCTATTGTGATCATAATATGATTTTTATCCTTTATTTTATGTATCATGTTTATTGCATCTGCAGAATAAATCCCACTTGTTCATGGTGTATTACTTCTTTAATGTACTGCTAGACTGGATGCCTTCACAGGCAAATTTTACCAAACATTCAAAGAACTAATGCCTATCCTTCTCAAATTATTTCAAAAAATTCAAGAAGAGGGAAGACTTCCAGACTCTTTTTAGGAGGCCAGCATTATCCTAATTCCAAAACTAGATGAAGAAACTACAAAGAAAGAAAATAATAGGCCAACATAGATACTAAAACCTCAACAAAATATTGGTAGTATATTCATTGACATTGTTCTTTGTAATATTGTTTTTGGATATGTCTCCTCAGGCAAGGGAAATGATAGAATAAATAAATAATTAAATAGGATTGAATCAAACTAAAATTTTTTGCACCTTGCTGTGCAAAATGAAAAGACAACCTACTGAATAGAGAAGATATTTGCCAATGCTACATCTGATAGGGGTTAATATTAAAAATAGATAAAGAACTCATCCAACTTAACATCAAAGACAAACAATCTAATTAAAAAATGAACAGAGGACCTGAATAGACATTTCTCCAAAGAGGACACACACATGGCCAATAAACATGAAAAGATGCTAAACATCACTAATCATCAGAGAGATGCAAATTAAAATCACCCCATACCTTCAGAATGGCTATCATCAATAAATCAACAAACACCTGTTGCTAAGCATGTGGAAAAAGAAAATGCTCATGCACTGTTGATGGAATTGCAAATTGGTGCAGCCTCTATACAGGAAACAGTATGGAGGCCTTTCAAACAGTTAAAAATAGAACTTCCATATGACCCAGCAACCCCACTTCTGGGGATTTATTTGACCTAACCCAAAACACTAATGAGAAATGATATATGCATCTCTAGGTTCATTGCAGCATTATCATACTAGCCAAGATAGGGACACAACCAAAGGGTCAATTAAGTGAAAAAGATGCGGTACATATATACACAATGGGATATGACTCGGCCATGAGAAAAAAATGAAATCTTGCCATTTGTGACAACATGGATGGACCTAGAATATGCTAAGTAAACTAAGTCAGACAGAGAAAAACAAATATCATGTACTTTCACTTATATGTGGGATCTAAAAAACCAAAATACATGTCAAACAAAAACAGAAACAAAGCCATAGATATAGAAAACAAACTGACAGTTGCCAGATAGAGGGTTATTAAGGGTTGAGTGAAGTACAAATTGGCAGTTTCAAAATAGTCACAGGGATGTAAACTACAGCACAGGGAGTATAGTCAGTAATATTTTAACAACTATGTATGGGGACAGGTGGGTGGGTACTAGACTTATTGGGTCTTAATAAATTGTATCTGTTACCAGACAGGGGCCGGCCTGGAGCAGGTCTGCATCAGGTGGCCTGTAGTGTGTGGGTTCTTGACTTCGTGTAGGAAAGATTTCACAAGAGTCCAGATGGGTTTGAGAGTGTGTTCATTAACGCTAGGGACAGTGAGACAAAGGAAAAAATTAGGGTAGAAGAAACAGCAGGGGGGAGCCTAGGAGGGGCTCTGCTTTGTCTCTAGAAATGTTACAGGGAAGAAGTGAGCCAGGGCAGGGCTGCTTAGCTCCTGGGAAGTGAAGGTCACAGTGATGGAGGCGAGCCTAGGTGGGGCTGCTTTGGCTCACTGGCAAGTCAGAGAAAAGGGGGGCCTTGGAGACAGATCAGGGGGTGAGCCCAGGCTGAGGTGCTGCTGCCCACTGCTCCCTCCCCTGGATGCAAGTCCTGTGGGGACCCTTAGAAATAAAAAGTTCATGCACAGGAAGGGGCATGGGCATGCTCTAGGTTGAGCCCGGATTGAGTCTCTGTCCTGAGGGATTTTTTCCTATAGGGGAGAATCTTAGGGGAGGGTTTCAGTAGAATATGCATCAGCTTCCAGATGCATTTTTTAATATGCTGATGCATTAAAATGAGGAGATGTGCAGGAGGCAGCTGATCGATGTTTCTCTCTCATTGATGTTTCTAACTCTCTATCTCTCTCCCTTCCTCTCTGTAAAAAAATCAATAAAATATATTTAAAAAAAAAAGTATAGAGCAAAAGAGTGAACCCAAGTGCCATCCTATATAATATAAGCGTAGTATGCAATTGTCCCCTCGACCGGGAGTTCGTCCGGGAGTTGACCAGGGGGCAGGGCCCGCCGGGGGAAGGCAGGGAGGCCCCGGCCCGCAGCCGGCAACCGCAAGGGACCCCACCAGTGCACGAATTTTATGCACTGGGTCTCTAGTTGTATAGACAAAACAATATATAACAAAGAAAGCTTCTCACACACCTTGTTTCTTGTAGGCAGGCCTGCTCTCTCAGGCAGCACTTTCTGCACCACAGGAAGTGTTCTCATCTGTGCTCTCCAATTACAGTGGCTCCTTGCCATCCCAGTGTGGGTAGGAGGGCTGAGGAAGTGAAATTTTACTTCTGCCTGATTTTAAATAATTTAAGTTTAAATCACCACATGTGGTTCATGTCTACCGCATGGGGCAGGCAATTCTAAGGCTAAACACACCTCACCTAGTTCTCTTTATTTCCCTGGAAAAGAGCTTTTAAAATGGGGCCATCCTCTCCTACATTCTACAATCTTCTCTCCAGGAGAGGTTCAGAGTATTTTTATTGTTATTGGTAGCTGCTCGAAGCTTCTTTGTGATTAAGGTGTATTGGGCAAAGATACTTTCTTGGCTTTTCCCCCTTTACTATTCTTCTTCTTTAATCCTCACTGGAGAACCTCACAGGTTCTTTGGGGTTTTTAGTTGGAGTTTATAAATGTTAAGGCATTTGTTTAGAAAAAATATTTTGTTTTTTTGTGGGTTTTTTTTTGTCTCTTTTATTTTTTATTTTTTTAAGATATTTTTATTGATTTCAGAGAGAAGGGAGAGAGAGAGAAAGAAAGGGAGAGGGCGAGGAGGGGGAGGGAGGGAGAGAGAGAGAGAGAGAGAGAGAGAGAGGGAGGAACATCGATGCGAGAGAATAATCAATCCTCGGCCTCCTGCATGCCCCCCACCGGGGATCGAGCCCACAGCCTGGGTATGTGCCCTGAAGGGTAATCGAACCACTGAGCCACACCAGTCAGGCCTCCCCAATCTTCTTTCACTGCCCCTCACATCACCTTCCAGTAATGCCAACCCCATTCCTAACTCAGGGGGCCCAACTCAAACCACTGTGGGTATAGGTTCCCGGCTCAGAGACCTGGGAGCAGCTTCAGAAGATACTGGAACTCAACTTGAATTTTTAGGGTCCGGCTTAAGCTGCTGGCTGTTTAAAGGTCGGCACCACAGAACACAGCGTTCTGAGCAACCAGCTGATAAAAGACTTCTCAAGTACCCCAGCCCAGAGGTGGGGCTGAGGTCATGAAGGTAAGTCACTAAATGGCTGACCAACAGGAAAGAAGGGTCTGATCATGTGGGGTTTCTAGTTTCAGATTCCATCTTTTTAAAAAATATATATTTCTATTGGTTTCAGTGAGAAAGGGAGAGGGAGAGGGAGAGAGAAACATCAATGATGAGAGAGAATCATAAATCAGCTATCTCCTGCACACCCCACACTGGGGATCAAGCCCGCAACCCAGGTGTATGCTCTAACTAGGGATTGAACCATGACCTCCTGGTTCTTAGGTCAACACTTAACCCCTGGCCCACACTGGCCAGGCTCAGATTCCATCTTAATCTCAAAATGCAAGCAAAAGAACGCCTCACGACAGCATGACACTGGTCTCCCCCCATGGGGCGGGGGCACAGGCATCGGCCCACCTTGAACATGCGAGGCGCCACGTGAGCATCCCTCCCAGACCACATCTGCTTAATGAGTTCTGCGTAGGCCTCTGCGATTTCGCCCTTCATCCCCAGAGGGTTGTCTCTGTTGATTTCGGCCTCATGCTCGTCTTTGAGGAAGTAGTCCGTCAGGGGCGCGGTGTTGCTCAAGCACTGCAAAGCAGAGTTCATGAAGCAGGTGTTCCCCAGGTTTCCAAGTCCACAGAGCCCCGGTTGGACATGAGACGATGGGGGCTCCTGACAATTATACGAAGCAGAGAAGCCAGATCCATTTGACTGCAGGGTCTGCCTCGGCCACGTGCCATCCTCATTTTGGGGCTCAATGACTAGCACCTGACCCTGGTACAGCCCCGCGTCCTGGACAGTGTTGTCGAGCTTGCTCAACTGCTCGTAGGTGTTGCTCATGTACTTGTTCCACAGCCGCGTCTCCCGCTCCGCAGGATTGTTGAACAGCTTCCGCATCTCCTTCTCGATGGTGGCGATGGTGTCGGCCTTGTTGAAATGGCAGCTCAGCATGTTGGTGGGGTCACTGTTCTCACAGAGCTTCAGTTCCAGCAGATACACCTCCACCTTGCAGTGCTTGACGAACAGGCCGTACTCCACGACTTTTCTGACGATGGGCTGCTGGCCTTCTATGCAGCCATACCAGTTTATTAGCTTATTCCAGGCCTCAGTTGGGACCAATACATAGTCCAATTCATCTATTAAATGTTCTTTCAGGGTCTGACTCTCAGGATCTGAAAAGAGTCCGGAGTTATCTATCGGGCCAGGAAACATGTTGTGTTCTCCCACATTGTACACATCCCAGCTGTCAAAGCCCACATACTTCTTCCACTGTTTGAACCACCGGCTGTCAATAAGATACCACTGCGCCCCTCGCTGGAGCGTGGTCCTCAGCAAGGCCCCGAGTTCGGATTTCTGGGTCTCCGCATCTGGTTGCTCCCCGGAGCCCCCGCCTTCCGCCATCTCGTCCGCGGCCCCGGCCCAGCCGACCCGGACCCAGATGCATTTTTAATGTGCTGATGCATCAAGATGAGTGTATAGGGAAGTTTTGGATTATTCTTTGGACTATTTTACTGTTATCTTAGGTCTGCCTGGCATTAATGGGGTTTTTGTTATTAGTTCCCCAACTTCATCTGTCCTTGGGTTTAGCTGGTACAAATGGCATTAGTTGGGTCTTTGTTCTTTATTTTCCCAGACCAGGGTGATGTAAGCTGTGTATTCCCTGGTTAGTGAAAAGGGTATAAACCATTTTCTCTCAGTGTCCTTGGTTAGGGAAGATAAGGTGTTGCGATCCACAGCTGGCTGTAAGTTGCCCAAACTGTGTGGCCTTGTTTAATTTTCTTGTCTCAGTTTCCCCATTTCACCTGCCCTAGTTTCTTATTAGCCTGCCACATAACCACTGTGATGTACACCTGAAACGAATATAATATTGAATGTCAACTCTAATTAAAAATTTACAATAATTAAATAAATAAAAGATACAGAACAGTGCTCTCACCTCAAAACTTCCCCTTTATAGTTGATCACTTCTCCCACCCTCAACCTCTGCAGCCACCAAAACTGACCTGTGTCACATAGCTTTGTCTTTTCCAGAATTTCGTATGAATAAACTCATACAATGTAGCCTTTTGATATTGGTATTTTTCACTGAACATGTGTTTGTGACTCATTCATAGTGTTGGATGTATTGATATTTGGTTTCTCTTTATTGCTGAGTAATATTCTACTGCATGGATGTGCCAATGTTTCTTTAACCAGTCACCAGTAAACGGGCACTTGTATGAAAATGCTAGGAATCCCAAATAACCAAATAAACCTTGAAAAAGAAGAGCAAAATTGGATCCACACTTCCTGCTTTCAAATGTACTAGAAAGCTACAGTAATCAGAACAGTCTGGTCCTGGCATAATGACAGACACATTGACCAATGGAGTAGAACAGAGAGTACAGATATAAATACTTAGATGTATGGCCAGTTGATTTTTGGCAAGTGTGACAAGAGAATTTAATAGGAATGATAGTCTTTTCAAAAAATGGTGCTGGGACAACTGGCTATCCACATGCAAGTGAATGAAGTTGGACCCCTACCTCACACTCTATATAAAAATTAACTCAAAATGCATCAAAGACCTAAATGTAAGAGCTAAAACTACAAAACTCTTAAAAGGAAATATAGGAGAAAATCTGCATGATCATGGATTAGGCAATGATTCCTTAGATATGACACCAAAAGCACAAGCAATCAAAGAAAAAATAGATAAACTAGACTCTATAAAAGTAAAATATTATATGTATCAAAGGACACTATCAAAAAAGTAAAAGGCATCTTACAGAGAGGAGAAAATATTTTATTATTTTGTAATATATTTTTATTGATTTCAGAGAGGAAGGGAGAGGGAAAGAGAGAGAGAGAAACATCAATGATGAGAGAGAATCATTGATTGGCTGCTTGTCTTCTACTGGAGATTGAACCTGAAACCCAGGCATGTGCCCTTGGCCAGAATTGAACCATGGACACTTCAGTCTGCAGCCTGATGCTATATCCATTGAGCTAAACTAGCTAGGGCTGGAGAAAATATTTTAAAATTATACATATGATAAAAGTTTAGTCCTCAGAATATATAAAGAACTCTTAGAACTCAACAATAAAAAATAAATAACCCAATTTAAAAATGGACAAAGGATTTGAATAGACATTTCCCTAAAGAAGTTATACAAATGGCTAATAAGCACATGAATAGATAGCATTAGTCAGTAAGGAAAAGCAAATCAAAACCACAAGGAGACATGACTTCATACCTATAAGAAAAAAAGGGGAAATAACAAATGTTGGCAAAGATATGGAGAAATTAAAACCAGGTACATTATTGAAGGAAAGGTCAATGATGCAAACACTATGGAAAATAGTTTGGTAGTTTCTCAAAAAGTTAAACACAGAAATATCATTTGACCCAGCAATTCCATTCCTGGCTATATACCCAAGAGAATTGAAAATATATGTCCACACAAAGACTTTATAGTAGCACCACCTATAATAGCCATAAAGTCGAAAACAATTCAAATATCCATCAGATGCTGAATGGATAAATAAGTGTGGCATATCAACACAATGGAATATTATTCAACCATAAAAAAATGAAGTACAAGTTCATGCTACAATATGGATGAACCTTGACAACATTATGTTCAGTGAAAAGAGGCAGAAACCAAAGGCCAAGTATTGTTTGATTCCATTTACCTGAAATGTCCAAAATAGGCAACCTCACAGAGACAAAAGTAGAATAGAGGTGACCAAGGGATGAAGGAAAGGGGAAACTGGGACTAATTGCTAATAGATAAGGGGTTTCTTTACAGAGTGATGAAAAATGTTTGGAATTAGACCGTCGTTATGGTTGCACAATGTGAATATACTGAGTGATATAGAAGAACCACTGAAGTGTCCGTTGATGAACAGTGAGTTGTATGTTATATGAATTACATCTTAATTTAAAATAATAGTAAAAGGAAAGACCATTCACCTGCAGAGGCTCCATTAGAAAGGAAAGGAGGATGGCTGTTCCACCTCGGAGTGTAGCATCTCCTTCTTTGGCAGAGGAGCCTGCGGTGGCACAGGGCCTGTAAGGAACACAGACAGAGGCAGGTCCTTAGCCTGGAAAAGCAGGAATGTGCTGCCTCCAAAATGTGGCAGAGGCCTGCTCTGGCCTCAGAAAGCTGCTGCGGAGTCCCCAGCTCAGGGCCAGGATCCCCAGCCACCAAGACAAACATCACCTGGGGAGGTGCCAAGCTAACTTGGCGTAGGCTGCTTTCAAAACGTGCACAGAGCCTTGGAGACACCTGGGGTGCCAACTTCTGGGCCCCAGCCCCTAGAGACAGACAACCTGCCGCCCTCCCTTCTTCTGTTTGCACAGGCTGGCTTCATTAGTGAGGAGGTGATGATCTAATTCCCTCTAAACAAATGTTTGGGATGTGGAGTTTTCCTTCAACAATGAGCAGTGGCAGACGGTGAGAAATCTGCTTGCACCTTCTGGGGAGGGGGTAGGGAGAGCCACACTGGCATGCCTGCCAGCATGGAGAGCTCTGTCTCCATGGCTGTGGGCTCCCTCACATCCTGGGCTGGAGCATGACTGGCTGGGGTTACAGAAAAGAAGATAATATTGGCCCATTTGTTTGTGGTAAACACATGCCGGTCTGACTGGTGGTGGCCTCTCAAACCGTCCCCCACCAGCTTGGAGGCAGAGAACCCTGGATTCCTGAACCCTGTAAGTGATTTTGGCAAAGCACTTAACCTATCCCTGCAAAGGGGAGGTTGGAACAAAGCTCCATGAGCAGGATGCCCATTGAGGAAGGTCCCTGGGAATCAATGCAAGGGCGAGAGGAAGCAGCAGCAGACACCATGACAACTTGAGGGACTCCATGGGGCCCAGAGCTGGAGTGGCCTCCAGAGCTGTGCTGACTCAGGGAGGTGGTCCAGGCCTCGCACCTGCATGAGTGATCGTCCTGGGGTGGGGGCACTGAGGAGACTGGCTGCCAAGCCTTTCTGCCCGCAGCACTCCTGGGAGCTGGGGGAGTTTGCCTTTTATTCCAGAAGGGGACCTGGGCAGTGTGTCATGGTGCCCATCAGTCTGATCTCTAAAATCAGGTATCAAGTTCAGAAGGCCCTGGGGTGGAGCTAAAGGAGGCATGCATTTCAAATAAACTGCTTGGGTAAGATGGCTGTTATTGGAGTGAGGAGTCAGGGAGAGGCAGTGAGCCAGCTCATTCTGCAGGGATATTGTTTGCAGGCCTTGTGCAAAGCCTTTGCCCATGTTCTCAGTCACCCCAGGGACCTTGTCATCTCTGCTGGCCGCATCTGAAATATTTTGCAGGTGGGAAAGAGGTCCCCAGGTCCAATTTGCCTGTGTCCCTAGTCTCCAGCATGAGGTTTGCCTGGCATGGAGCGGGCACTTGAAACCTGTTCGTTGGAAGCAGGAATGGGCATTGGTCCTCAGCATTTCTTCACTCTTATGTTCAGTGACTGCATCCATCATTGTCATGTAATCCTCAGCATTAACTTCCTTCTTCCAGATACCCTAAGACATCAGTGTGTCCCAGGTCCAATATTTGTCTGTCTTAAAAAAAATTAGATTGTATTTTCTTATAAATTCAATGACTAAAATATTTGTCTTAATAGAAATTGATAGTTCAAAATGTATTCACAAAAATGTTAGTATGTATATTCCCCACATTTTGACCGGCTTTGCGGCCCAATTAAAATGCCATTCCCTTACTCAGGAAACCCCTGTACTTGCCCCATGTGCTCTGTGCATCTTGGACAACAGGACCCGGTGCCACACTTGCCATAAGGTCTCTATAACATCAGTGGCAGCAAACCCAGCACAAGCTCGCACAAAGGGGCGAGGTTTAGGTAAATGAAAAGTCTAGAGGGCGCCTCTGTCAAGACTGGATCCTGAATCTCAAACAGTAGCTCCAAGAGCCTCGCTTATGATCCTTGGGGTCCTTGGGGCCGGCCTGGGCTCTCCTCCTGCCACAGCTCCGTGCTCATATCCCCACACCACTGCTGTCAGCAACAGGAAGAGGAACCCATTCCCCCCCAGAAGTCCAGTACAGTCTTGGCTCTTATTGGGCCAGATGGCCTGGGAACGGGTGGTTGCCAGAAGAAAAGTGTTGGTTCGTTTTTAAGTCAAGGGAAGAATGAAAAGCATGGGCAAAAAACATAGGTACTTTCAAAATAGATGCTATCACACACATCTTAATCCAGTTGAATTCTTGTTACTGCTGGGCCAGCTTAAAAGCCACCATCTCTAGTAGCATCTAAATATATAAAGCAAATATTAACAAACCTAAAGGGAGAAATAGACAGGATTACAAAGTTGGGTACTTTAATACCCACTTACATCAATGGGTAGATCATCCAGACAGAAAATCAATAAAGAAACATGGGCTTTAAAGAACGCATTAGGCCAGATGAAGTTAACAGATATATATATATAA